AAAAAAAAAATATATAGATAAACTGGCAAAAAAATCTTTTTTTGTATGTCTCTTACATATAGAAGAGGTGCTCCTATTTCGCTCAGTGACTTCAGCCCTCTCTAGTTTTCTCGTCCGTACCCGAATTAATATAGGAAAGAATAGATGAAGCCCCGCCTCTGGAGGGTTTGGCAAACGCGAAATACTATTCACATTGTAACTATCAAACACATAGCCGACTGCCAGCCTCCCAGATATAAACCATATCATCGGCCTGTCACCAACTCTGTTTTTTTTTTTTTTATTTTTTTGTTTTGTCTTTTTTTTCTTTCAAAAAAACATTTTTGCTGTTGTTGTTGTTGTCTTCTTCCAATTTTTTTCAACTGTTCTTGTAAGGGTGGGAAAAAAATTGAAGAGAACAGAAGAAGAGAATGGTCGTTATTCATACAGATTGTCCACACCTAATTTTTTCTGCCTGAAAAAGTGTTTTTTTTTTTCCATTTTTATCACGTTTTATTTAATTTCTTCTGTTTTTTTTATTGGTATTTTTCTACTTCGTTTCTCTTTTGATTTTATTTTACTTTTTTTTTTTTTGCTTTTATTGCGTATTTTTACTATACTTTCTGAGGTTGTCTTTTCTGCTTCTTTTTCATCACTATTATTATTATTTCTGTTATCATTATTATCATTATCATTATTATTATTATTATTATTATTATTGTTTTGTTATTATTATTATTATTGTTGTTGCTTTTTAATTTTCTAATTACATTTTTTTGTTGTTATTTTTGCTGTTATGCTATTTGGTTCTTTGTTTCGGCTTACCAATCCATTTTTAGACCGACATCGTTGATCATTGTTAATGTCGGGTAAATTTTCTTTTACATCAACAATGTACCTTTGACTTTTCGTAAGGAAATTTTTTTCTGTACCTACAATCGTTGTTTATTGAACTATCTTTACAAAGCAAGAAAAAAACTAAAAACCGTCAAGGGTTTACTCAGAAATACGCAAGACTATAGAACAGGTGAGCTAACTCTTTAGGCAGAAAAGACAGGAGAGAGTTAGAGGAGGAGGAAAGGAAACGGGGAGGTAAAGAGAAAGCTATATGAAACAAGGAGGTTCGAAAAGCTGAATAGAGAATAGGTAGAATTAATTGAAGATGTCATAAGGAACAGCGGAGGGGGGAGTAGTGTTTGTAATTTACTGTTAACTATAAACGTCTAATAAGCTTTAAATAAAGAAAGAGAAGCAAAAAAAAAGAAATGGTAACAAAAAAACTGCATGATTTTTTCATGAATACCCATATGAATGCTCAGAGCATGAGTTGGATATGTGGTTCAACAGTTTTCTTCAATTCAGCTGACATTTTAGAAGCGGTATTTTAATGGTACAGCAGTCAAACAAAATCGGTTCTGGTTAAGGTTAACCGGGGGCGGTAACTTCCATACTGATTATTTCCAGTTATCTGGCAGTAATAAATATCCGTAAACAATTACTCGGTACAGATGATAGCCTTTGTTCCATCTCACCAGTATTTTTTCCTTGTCTTATAACTACTATATGCTTAGCATTTGCTTTAGTGACCGCTATATCCTTGTTAAAAGTCATAGCAAAAGTTCGCTATAACTTTATTAACAGCTTACAGTTTTCTTTTTAATTTTTTCTGCAGCAACAAATATTTTTGCTTTTTTTAATGAGCTGAGGACCAATTATCTCCGGATTTCTACATTAATTTAAAAGTACATAAATTCATAGATATTTAGATACATGAATATATAAATATATAAATATGTAAAATATATAAATATATAAATAAATGAGCATAAATACATA